CAAAAATGGAGGTCATTTTGGAGCCATTTTTCAGAAAAAAAACGATGGGCTATATATAAGGGTATTATTCAGATATTGGCCATTTTTTTAAAAGGCCATAGCTTGAAAACTTAAGTCAGAATTCGCTCAAACTTTCTACACAGCACAAGGACATCAATATGTATCAGAAAATGTAATTAAAATTGGGAATAATTTTGGAGCCATTTTTCAGAAAAACCACAGGCTATTATATTATAGTACAGGGCAGGAATTCTGTATCACCTCGTTGTGAGGTCTTTGGTCTGAATTTTTGGGCAACTTCAAAACATTCATAAAAACCAATCCACTCAAAACTCTAACTTCAGTGGAGTTTTATTTTGGTGATTGGCAGTTTGCAAGCGGGATTGCCATATTAAAACCACCAGTTATTAATTTGCATGCATGCTCAGTATCCACGTGTACACAAAAACAATTTTACAGCAAAATCGCCAAAATAAAAGCACTATATGATAATACTGTATAGTGGAAAATTTTGGGGGGACTAAAATTTGGCGAATTGCTAAATTTTGCTGATTGGCGAATTTTAATTAGGCGAATTTGTGGCCATGTGCCATTGAGCATAATGGCAAATTTTTATTTTGATGAATGGCTATCAAATGATGTCAAATTCACCAAATTTAATCCCCTCCAAAATTTCCTGCTATACGGTATCTAATTATCTATCCATTGATTTATCCACAAAAATAACAATGACTTGTTCACACAAAATCAAGTTAATGACATTTATAAAGACTTACTTGGATAATCAGTTGAATAAAGGAGAGTGAACTCCATTCTTAAAAAGAGAGAGAAGAGAATAACAAGATAGAGAGTGATTAGGAGGTAAATACTAGCCAAAGCAACATAGCATGCCCTTACTTCTCAGTTCTCTCCACTTGTAAACTCTAGAGATATCCAGGAAGACTCAGCTTGAGTACTGCTTCCGGCATGACTTCCGTGCAGTTATGAGCTTTAAAAAGCAGTGAAATACCTGATACAACAAAGTAACAACTTTACAATAAAAGAACAATGTTTTCTCGTCGTTCTCTAGTTTTTTCTGTCTATATAGATCCGACTACGCTAGCCACCACAGGGATAGAGATGATAGCTGCAGTAGCTTCAATGTTTCATCCTTGTTTCAGAGAAGGGCGTGGTCTATTAATTTATAATTAATTAGTAACAATAAAAGTTGAAAAGTTCACCCATACATTATGTCATTATAATTACATTATGTCATTATAATAACAAAACGTTTTTCAGGTTTCAATTAGCTCTTGAATCTTCTTTTGTGCCTCCTTTCCAGCACTCTTTTCCCCATACTTCCATCCTATAAGAGCCCCAATGGTCAGTCCTAAAGGTAGGCCAACAACAGGAAGAAGTGTTGCAGCTACTCCAGCACCAATTGCACCCCCAGCAATAATGCTACGTCCAACGGAATCCCTCTTGCTCTGATTGATTGCTTTGATTTCTCTGGTTTTGTTGTAGCATTTCTGCAAAGTGGCATGAAGCAATTCCTCAACCCAGTCATCTCTCACAGGTAACTTGACATTACGCTTGGATCCTGCAACACAAACTGGTATTTGCAAGTAAATCTTTTTAGGAACCAGTTGAACGAGAGCCTCATCAAATGCTAAACTCCATTGCTTCATTGATTCCAGCATCCTTAAAGCAGCACACATCTTTTTATTATCATCATTGTCATCATCGTCATCGTCCTCCTCCTCAATTTCAAAAAGGTTAGCTTGTGTCAATACAAGTATGCATTTACTCCAAATCACTTCATTTTCTTTAAAAAAGTGTTTGGCAAGAAGCTCAGCAAAACGAACAGAGGAGTCATTGAACCTTCCACTGATTCGATGACAAATGTAGACAGCATCTAACTTGTCAATATCTATCATTTTGGTATAATTCTTAAAGAGTGCTTCGTCCTTATGTGTTGGGTCAGCAAAGCCCCTTGTATCATAGATAGTGAGTTTTGTACAGGTGAAACTCTCCTCCACTTTGCACATCACCTGAGCTGTATGCTTCACAATTGGCTCATGACTCTGGGCTTTTACATCTCGGGACACTTGAGCTTTGATGTCAAGGGTGTTACCAAACAGAGCATTGATCAGGTAGGATTTACCAACTCCAGTCTCTCCTAGAATAAGGATTTGTTTCTCTATGGGCTCGCTGTCAAATTCTTCAGTGCCTAGAGCACCCTTGGAGACACTATTGATTGAAGAAATAGAAACATGAAGATCTAGATCTAGATCTATGTATTCTTCTGCTGCAACATTAACAAAATGGGCCATGTCATCAGAGCCAATATCAAAGAACTTGTGCTGCCAGGTAGACTAGATCTAATCAATACTACACAGATAGCCTATATTTACCCAATACTAGGAAAATGTATTTGCTTTCAATACTCCAGATGAGCATGCAAACCATGCAGTCACCACAGATAGAAGTAGCACTATAGATCTATATCTAATCTATAGTTTTATTCTTATCATTACTATACTGTAAAAGCACAGATGTAGACTACTCTACTACATACACTATTAAAATTCATTTTAAACTTTTAATAGTTAAATTCTTATCATTGATTGAATGTTAACTGAAAAATTCTTTTAAAGACTTAAAAGCACTGGTAACACCCATCAATGATGCACCAGACCCTGTTCCTCTCTGCAGCAACCCGTTTATACAAAGGTGTTGACGAACTGATAATGGAACGCACTGGCCACCATAGCATCGATGGAGTGAGAAGCTACAAGAGGACATCAGCTGAACAAATGATTGAGATATCAGATATTTTAGCAAACACTCAAAATACTCAACAAAAAAAATATAAAACGTCGATGGACTGTGAAGCACAAATTGCTTTCAATAACTGCACAAATGTAACTGAAAGCGTAACAGGGTAAAAAATATTCCTATAAATGATTTCACCACCTTACAAGTACAACCTGGTCATTATTAAGACTTATAGAGGTTCTCTCTACCTTCTAATGCTTCTAGAGAAGTCTTTAGACAGTATCTCTATGCTCTCTTGCTGTTAGAAAGCTCTTAACTTTGTCCCATGTGTAAGCCGCCATTTTGCTTGCCGTGACCACACCCACTCACGTAAAGCAGCGTGGGCGGGTGGTTGCTAAGGCTTGTTATTTCTCCAATACAACATGTATAGAAGAAATGTAAGTGTGGACATACAAATAAATATATACATATATATACATAGCGTGACGGTGAATTCAATTATAGGAACGACCTGGGGGCTTCGCCCCCAGGTCGTTAATAACAATTTTATTATTATAAATAATGGTTATTAACAGGTAATCTAAGAAGTTATTAAGAGGTAACTAAGCTATTTAGATTACCTCATTTGACCAATCAAATTGCCTCATTTTACCTGACTATAATCTAATATCTATGATCTATTCGTCTAACCATAGATAATAGAGTAAATGAAAGGGATTGGAAACGGGTGCGTGGGCGTAGCCCAACCTCCATTCATTTGTATTGTTACTAAGCATACAGAGGTGGGTTGGGACTTTTTCACTATTTTCACGCCACTTTTCCTTCTTTCAGGAGCAATATCTGGCAAAGGACTGTTCTCATTTAAGTGAAACTGATGCATCAAGAAGCCTAATGTTTCCTCTCAACACTACTGTTATCTATTGTACAGAAAATGTTATAGTTTTAATGACACAGCCCATTTTTACTCTTAAAATGCCATTTATTTCATTATTCTCCCTTTTCTCAAAACATGCTAAAGTAAAACTGGAAACCATTATAATCATATGAAAGGCCTTACACTTTCCAAAGTAATTATACAGGTTAGAGTTAAGACCTAAAGTGTACCGAAAATAGTTGATTTTGTTGTACCTATAACTGATTGCAATATAGCTTTACAGAGACAAAAAACTTGCTGTAGGTAGCTGTAAAAATTCTTTGTGCAATAGGCTATAAATTATAAGCAAGCGCTATCCTGGAGCAACGCCGGGCACAAGTTTCCTTCAAAATCCTTCCAGAGCAACTTCACCAACGGAGGAGATGGCAAAACACTGATGGTTGTCACGTTGTAACCCAACTAGCATTTCCTGTTGCTACGCCCCGTTTCCAATCCCTTTCATTTACTCTAATATCTATGGTCTAACCATAGATAGTAGAGTAAATGAAAGGGATTGGAAACGGGGGCGTAGGCTAGTTGATGTTGCTATTGGTTACCGGCACAATACCTGGTTGATTTCCCATCTCCTCCATTAGTGAGGCTGTACTGCAAGGACTTGGAAGGATATTTATGGAAATCCAAGAGGACGCTTACTTATGATACACCTACCGTTCCATATAGAAAGTTTAGGACTACCTGCAGCAAGTAGTCTGGGTCTGGCTGCGCCAGACTAGCAGCAAGGTTTTTACTTCTACAACGCTATTTTGCAACGGGTTATAGGTACAACAAATTTTTTTCATTTTTCGCCCTTTTTCTGTTGTAACAAACTCATGCTTCATGGATTCTAACTCTAACTAGTATCATTCCATATGCAAATGAAAGCTCTTTCATATGATTATAAAGATCTTGTATCTTACTCTAGCTTGTTTTCAAAAAAGGGATTATAATGGCAAAAAATACATTTTATGGTTTAAAAGAGCTATAACATGAACATAGTAAAATTATCTATACAATAGAAAACAGAATTATTAAGAGGAAACATTAGGCTTCTTGATGCATTAATTCCACTTGCATAGGAACACTTGTTCGCGAGATATTGTTTCTAAGAGAAAAAAAATCAAGGGTAAATTGTGACAAAAAATTTCAACGAGCCTCTGTCAGCCTAGCAGCAATACAAATGAATGGAGGCTGGGCTACGCCCACGCTTCCGTTTCCAATCCCTGTCATTTACTCTATTATCTATGGTCTAACTATAGTACCATAGATAATAGAGTAAATGAAATAGATCTATAGTCATTTACTCTATTATCTATGGTCTAACCATAGATATTATAGACTACGTAACCGGGATTGGAAACTAGGATTCCCTGGTGGACAACGTCCGTGATTGAATTGGGCGTTAAATAGAATAAATTTGACCATGTGGCTTGCTTTTTAGTCTATAATATCTATGGTCTAACTATCAATATTAGACCACGCCTTCAGCTAACCACATATCCATAGATCTAATTCATTTATGACCACATGTGATAGATGCGGTCATAGTAATACTACATGAAATCCGAGATGAAGTCCTAGTTATTGTCTATGATGTGGTAAGCTAGATAATTTAGATAAATGAAACAAATAGATTTAGATCTTCTCTAATCTCGATTCTATGATCTCGACCTAGTAGATATCAACGCTGGCGAAATGGAAGACGAAAGGAGTCAAGATATGAGTGGTAGTATTTTATACTCACTACATGGTAATGAGAATACTGATGGAGAGAAAGGGCAGGCAAGTGAGGCAACTGCAAAAGCCGAGGCGAAAGCAAAACAAGACTATGAGGCAAGCAAAGGTCAATCACCACAATTGACAATGATGGTAATTGGCAACACAGGAGCTGGTAAGTCCACACTCATCAATTCAATGCTGGGTAAGAAAAAAGCCAAAATATCACATGATATAGACCCTACTGATCACAATACAATAGAGGAACACACTGGCACAGTCTGTGGTACACCTGTGGTGTTTTATGATACAAGAGGGCTGGGAGACCCAAAGCTAAAAAATAAAGAGCTGATGAATAGCTTTAAACAGTTGATGAAGTTGCCGCAATGTAGTGATCGATTTACAATCCTTATATGTCAGCGATTTTCAGATAAATTTGGTGATTCAATTGTGCAATTTGCAGAGCTTCTTGCGAAATATTTTAAGGATGATTACTCAATATGGAAGAACTGCATCTTAGTGCTAACACGAGCTAATCAGTATGATCCTGATGACGATGAGAGCGATGAGGAGGAGGAAGAAGATAGGAGGAGTGGCATTAGCCCAGAAGAGCTTTTAAAATTGAAAATGGATATACTTATGAAAAGGTGGGCCACAAAATTTCAATCGTACCTGGAGAAATACAATGTGCCTGAGGAAATAATTATGAATATGCCAGTGTTTGTTGCCGGGAATAAGAAGAAGCTCAAACTACCTGTCACCGATAACTGGATAAAAACAATAATGAATCACTGCGATTCAAGAGCTCTACATTTCCAAAGTGCTACTCAAATGCAACGGCAATTACGAGAAACAGGAGTGTTTCTTGGTGGAACAGTTGGTGGAGTTGTGGCAGGTGTTGCATTACCAATTATCGGCATACCAATAGGAATTACCATAGGCTCTTTGATTGGATTTAAGATGGGTGAAAGGTATTACCACAAGGCAGTATGTAATAAAGTAGAAAGAAAGTACAAAGAAGACAAAGTTGAAGAATTAAAAAAGAAAAAGTAGTAACATTGTAAAGTAGTGTTTTCCTAATTCTTTATTAACATTGCTGCTATTATTAACATTACTGCTAGTCATTATAGCTATGTTCATAATTGTTTTCATTTTATTCAAGCACAGCAAAAAATTGCCATGTCGACCTAGTCTCACACTAATGCAAACCATCTGCACTAAAATTGATCAACTTATCATGCATGTAACAAAGCCAATATTAAATCAAATAACTGATCACTGCATGAAGTTATACCTCAGACTATGTGCTGCTAAGTGTCACTATATTCAACTACCAAGGGTCGTAGACAATCTATGTATTTCTATGGTATTCCCCTGCCACTAACCAAAACAATGAGGAAAATGTACCAGCTTATAATCATAAGGATAAAAAATCACAACTAGTTCTATACCCAATTCTATAGTTCTATTCTTATTCAAATAGTTTAGATTACTTTTAGTCAAATTGTACTAGTTAAAATTTTGTTAATTGCATGTTAACTGAAAAACCATTTAACGACTTAAAAAAGCACCATTAATAATGCACCAGCCACCCTCTCGAGTGAACTTTGTTTATGCAATTGGCAAAATTATAACTATCCACAGGCAAATTCGTCAAATATTACTCTCGCCAATAATTCATTTACTCTAATATGTATGCATGATAGAGTACATAATGAATTTATCCACAAATATTAGAGTAAAATCTATGATTTATTTATGATTTATAATTGATTAAGCAACACTATAGCAAACAAAGCAAAGTTGAAAAGTTCACCCAGACATAATTATTTATAGTCATTATCAATTTTTAATTAACTTTTTAAGCTTCTTTTGTGCTTCTTCTTCTGCACTCTTTTCCCCATACTTCCATCCTATAAGTGCCCCAATGGTCAGTCCCAAAGGTAAGCCCACAAGAGGAAGAAGTGTTGCAGCTACTCCAGCACCAATTGCACCACCAGCAATAATGCTACGCCCAACAAAATCTCTCTTGCTACGATCGATTGCTTTGATTTCTCTGGTTTTGTTGTAGCATTTCTGTAAAGTGGCATGAAGCAATTCCTCAGTCCAGTCATCTCTCACAGGTAATTTGACTTTACGCTTAGATCCTGCAACACAAACTGGTATTTGCAAGTAAATCTTTTTAGGAACCAATTGAGCAAGAGCCTCATCAAATGCTAAGCTCCATTGCTTCATTGACTCCAGCATCCTTAAAGCAGCACGCATCTTATAATCATCATCGTTGTCATCATCGTCATCGTCCTCCTCCTCAATTTCAAAAAGGTTAGCTTGTGTCAATACAAGTATGCATTTACTCCAAATCACTTCATTTTCTTTAAAAAAGTGTTTGGCAAGAAGCTCAGCAAAACGAACAGAGGAGTCATTGAACCTTCCACTGATTCGATGGCAAATGTAGACAGCATCTAACTTGTCAATATCTATCATTTTGGTATAATTCTTAAAGAGTGCTTTGTCCTTGTGTGTAGGGTCAGCAAAGCCCCTTGTATCATAGATAGTGAACTTAGTGCAGGTGAAACTCTCCTCCACTTTGCACATCACCTGAGCTGTATGCTTCACAATTGGCTCATGACTTTGGGATTTCACATCTCGGGACACTTGAGCCTTGACATTAATGGTGTCACCAAACAGAGCATTGATGAGGTAGGATTTACCGACTCCAGTCTCTCCTAGAATAAGGATTTGTTTCTCTACAGGCTTACTGTCAAATTCTTCAATTCCGTGCATAGTGCCCTTGGAGAAACTATTGATAGATGAAATAGAAACACGATCATATTCTAGATCCATTACATGTCCTTCTGCTGCAACTTTGGCATAATGGGCCATGTCCTAGTAGATAAGTCAGAGCCAATATTCAACTGATCTCTGACAACAAGTGTCTACTCTGGTGCTGCCAAGTGTCACTATTATTATATAAAGCTAGCCCACCAAAACTATGAGGAAAATGCACAAGCTTTTAGTCCTAAAGATAAACAAACAACTAGGTATATACCCACACTACATTTATATACATGTAGTTCAAGTCTTAACATGTAGATCTATTCTCTATACTACAATTACTCTATACAGATATAATTATTAGTTTAGATTATTTAACAGTATTAAATTCAAAATTTTAGTATTGTTTTAACTGAAAAATCCTTTTAAAGACTTAAAAGCACTGGTAACACCCATCAATGATGCACCAGACCCTGTCCCTCTCTGAGACACCATCTCAAGGAGTTTACCAGCTTCATCATGGAATCCTTCATCTTCCAACTGATGGACAGCTCTCTCAACACGTCCACTGGGAGAATGAAAACATAAAATTTCAAACAATTCGTCTTCTTTACACTGAACCATACGAGCAAGCAAAGGAACATCAATGACTCCTTGTAGCTGATCCCTCCCTTTAATGGGTGGGCTGCTCAGATAAGAGCAGAGCTCTGGGTAAATGGGTGTGTTAAGTATTGTCCCTATGTGTCCATTGTATAGTATTAGCTCAAGGACTGTGTTGTTGATTATGCCCTCATATTCATCAAAAGGCAACTGGAGGAAGAGAAAAAAGGAAAGAGGGATGATTATACATGTGTATGGTTTAATGGTAATCATGCTACACTATTGTATAAATTGGTAATGTATTGTCTATTTGGACAGGTGCCATAAAACACTTTCAATGTTTATGCACAAAAATAACTTAACAGTGGAGGAAACGAGAGACGGGAAAAATAAATTTTGGGAGAACCAATCTAACTAAAAATGGACATGCATCTAGGCTATAAATTGAGAGACAAAATGAGAGATTTCAGGAGACCTAGAGCAAATGTGGGAGACCAAATGCTCCTACATCTATATAGGTATCTAACAATGATATAAACACTACCAATGTATAATAAACAGTGATAAAGTACTAACTATTGTTGGACAGATGCCCATAAACACTTTCAACGTTTGTGTGAACTATCAAATACCTTTTTGTGCATGAAGATATTAATGAGTGATTTCTTTCTTGTTAGCAGTGACAGCATCAATGCTGATGATCTGTCTATTGACCACAATTTATTAAAAATCCCTTTATCAACCTAAAGACATAAAATAGTTTTATTTACTGATGGCATCACTTTAATAAAACTAAAATTAGTAACACATAGTATGACATCATTATATCTGTTACTATTTATAGAGTAATTACTTGAGAATTCATGCCATGGAGTCCAGCTCTAATAAATACAACTTTATGACAACTGTCAGGATCACTAGCAATAGAACCCAACACTGTCAGCCAACACTCAGTGAACTCTTCACCACTAGAAATAATTAAAAAAATCTATCATGTTCATTATCAAAAAATATAATAAAAATAGGGGGTGATTCCGGAGCCATTTTTTGGAAAAAACATGGGCTATATTATAGTACAGGGTAGTTTTTAGATTTTGGCCAATTTTTAAAATGGCCATAACATGAAAAATTGAAGTCGGAATCAGCTCAAACTTTCTACACAGCATAAGGACATCAATATGTATCAAAAAATGTAATAAAAATTTGGGGTGATTTCGGAGCCATTTTTTGAAAAAAACCATGGGCTATAATAGCTTTAAGTATTTTCAGGTTTTTGGCATTAATTTTTCTTAAAATGGCAGTAACTTGAAAAATTGAAGTCGGAATCAGCTCAAACTTTCTACAAAGCATAAGGACATCAATATGCATCAAAAAATGTAATAAAAATTAGGAGTGATTTTGGAGCCATTTTTCGGAAAAAACCATGGGCTACAGCCTTGGGTAATTTTCAGATTTTTGGCATTTTCTTAAAATGGCCGTAACTTGAAAAATTGAAGTCAAAATCAGCTCAAACTTTCTACACAGCATAAGGACATCAATATGTATCAGAAAAAGTGATACAAATTAGGAGTGATTTCGGAGCCATTTTTTGGAAAAAACCATGGGCTATAGCCTTGGGCATTTTTCAGATTTTTGGCATTTTTTAAAAATGGCCGTAACTTGAAAAATTGAAGTTAGAATCAGCTCAAACTTTCTACACAGCATAAGGACATCAATATGTATCAGAAAATGTAATAAAAATCAGGAGTGATTTCGGAGCCATTTTTGGGAAAAAACATGGGCTATATATAGCCTTGGGTATTTTTCAGATTTTTGGCATTTTCTTAAAATGGCCGTAACTTAAATAATTGAAGTCGGAATCAGCTCAAACTTTCTACACAGCATAAGGACATCATTATGTATCAAAAAATGTAATAAAAATCAGGAGTGATTTCATAGCCATTTTTCAGAAAAAAACATAGGCTATAGCCTTGGGTATTTTTCAGATTTTTGGCATTTTCTTAAAATGGCCGTAACTTGAATAATTGAAGTCAGAATCAGTTCAAACTTTTTACACAGCATAAGGACATCAATATGCATCAAAAAATGTAATAAAAATTAGGAGTGATTTTGGAGCCATTTTTTGGAAAAAACCATTTTTCTGATTTTTGGCATTTTCTTAAAATGGCCGTAACTTGAAAAATTGAAGTTAGAATCAACTCAAACTTTCTACACAGCATAAGGGCATCAATATGTATCAGAAAAAGTAATAAAAATTAGGAGTGATTTTGGAGCCATTTTTCGGAAAAACCATGGGTTATAGCCTTGGGCATTTTTCAGATTTTTGGCATTTTCTTAAAATGGCCGTAACTTGAATAATTGAAGTCGGAATCAGCTCAAACTTTCTACACAGCATAAGGACATCAATATGTATCAGAAAATGTAATAAAAATTAGGAGTGATTTCGGAGCCATTTTTTGGAAAAAAAAACCATGGGCCAGGACAGGACTCCCGTACTGTACAGGTACTTTGGCCTCAATTTTAAAGCAGCTTCAAAAAATCTAATAAAATACCATCAACTCAAACTCTACATAACACGAGTACACGTATAAGTATGTACATGTGCTATTACTACCAATTATAGTAAACTATTTTATTACCATGATAAATCAGGCCACTGCTCCAACAGCACAGCTAATATCTCTTGCTGCTTTAGACTAGTGGATGACTTTGATAAAGAAAGAACAAGACTCCTTCTGGTTTCAATGCTTGCTACATCACTTAAAGAGATCTGAAAAGTTAAAGAACAAAGATTCATCATGCATAATAAGCTAATATTTTTGGGCTAATTATTATTGACTAAAAGTTATGGCCACTAACTTGTTTCTCAAAGCTACCAAGGAGCACTAATTGTGTCTGATAAAAAAGAAGTAACTGGGAATCACCATCAGATAAACTAACATACTATAACACACAGTAGAGAGAAAATATATTTAATATAAGAGAACAGTAACAATCTCAATATGAATGCAGTAAGTATATGTAATTACCTGATTAATACACTTCAGCAAAGAGCATTTAAAAGGTACTGGTCTTTCTGAATCAATGCTGTATGAAGACTCTAAAACTGGCAATAATTCTGAACACTTTACTAATTGTCCACTACATACAAGAGAGTCATAGCATGATAAAAAATGACTGTTATAATTAAGAGTTTTACCTTCCTTTCTCATGATTGTGGACAAGCATAAGAATTTTATTAATCTTTTGAACAACAGGGCTATAAGAATAGAATTATAAAATAAGTAAAATTGCAAAAATTTATAAGTATTTCAGTCACAAATTTAATTCATATAAATGTCTACCTTTCAATGTTGACTAGTGAGAGGAGGCATTCCAACACAATCTCTTTCACAGTTAACTTATGAGGTCTGACAGGTCTTGATTGAGCTAATATCAGCTCAATGGAGTCCAATGGTAAACTCAATAGACACATCTCATGCACCAGATCCTTAACCTAACAGTGATAGAGTACAATTAATGCTTTAGATAGAGCTGCTATATAAAATATATCTGTTACTTTGCTTGTTTCAGATATAGAGAGATCATATTTCTTGACTATACCACTCCACGCTCCCTGCATGAATCATAATTAAAGCAATAAAAGTATAGCAAGTGTAGTTATTACCTTTTCTATTTTAGGAGGTGCTTCTGTGAATAATTCTCTAACACATTCAAGATGTAGCTTGCAAACACCAAGCTCAATGAGTAGATCTTTAAATGAAAAACTATACATACAAGAAAAAGAATATTATGAAATGAGAGTGGATTCAAGTTCTTCCTTACTCTGATTTCCCTCCTCCTTCCATTGCCTTCTTTTCAGTACAAACTTCAACCAACCTCAACAATAATGAGTCCCTTGTCTTTAGTGACATTAACTATAACACAAGGCACCATTTGAATACACACTAACATACCACCATACACTAAAAGTATATATGCTTTAATATTTTGGTCTTTCTCTTACTTGTAATGATTTACGTGTAAAAAGCATGTCAACCATTAAGTATTGGACTTGCTCTGCATCTAACCTCTGTATGTAATCACGACACAAGTCAAACTTGCTTAACCAGTTTGACTAGAAAAACAAACAAAATAGAAAGTTGAATGATGCTTCAAATGCTCTCTACACTAACAGTGGCATAAGAGTCAGAATTATTAGTATCTTCTCTCCAAAATACTTTACCAGCATAAGCTCTGTACACCTCCTTAGGACTGAGAGATCCTTTACCCTATAAAATATAAAATAGCTGCCACATTAATTTACTACAAATTATGTTTGTATTTAAGCTGACTTTAAGTGGTATGCTTTTGGCTAGTTTAGCAATCGGGTGAATGTTGTGATCTCCAAGTGCTGGTAGTAGAACTAATAGTGGATCATCTCCAGACATCAAGTCATGATAATTGACCTCTATAGAATGGTATAGTTATGGATTGCCAAATACTAGTATAGTATAGTATACTATACTATACTATATACTATAGTATACCTCTGATTGTTGTTTTAAATCTGGTTAGTAGTTTAAGATGTGTACTAATGTCTTCCTAAATAATAAATTGAGAATATAATATCCTATACTATGTAATGCAGCTAATTTTGAAAGAGAAATTTAAACTTTATACAAGTAACAACAAAAGACTGATAATGTACATAAAATTAGACTAAATTCATAATTTTTCTTTCTTCTTTGGATTTGATGCTTTGAATGCATACCATACTCTTATTTTCTCAATGGACTTCTCTGCACAGTGTTTCCCAATGAGCATCCCTATTGTTAAACCAACTGGAACTCCTAGTATTGGAAGAGCGATCCCACCAACAGTGACACCAATAAGCCCACCAAGAATTTGACGTTCCTTAATAAACTTCTGTTTCGATAGTTCAATTTGCCTAATAACTTCCGCTTCCTCTCCGTAGCACTTTTCAATTGTTACCTGAAGAAGGTCTTCAATCCAGTTCTTCGTAATGGGTAATTCAAGGTTCTTCTTAACTCCAGTTGCACAAACTGGGATTGATTCAACAATTAGTTCCAAGACACCGCATTTAATTAAGACTTCCCCAAACATCATACTATATTGAGCCATGGTCTCCTTCATTCTTTGAGATCGTTTATCTTGCAGGACTCTGCCTTCATCAGCTTCATCTTCAGAATCATCATCACCTTGATCAAACAAGTTAGCTTGTGTCAAGACAAGTATGCATTTGCTCCAAACTTTTGCATCTTTTTTTCCAAATCGTCTGGACAGTAGCCTTGCAAAGCGAGCAGAAGAATCAGTGAATCTTGCACTCATTCTGTGACAAATATATATTACATCAACCTCGTCAATACTTATACTTTCAAAATATTTTTCGAAAAGTTTCTCATCTTTAAAATTTGAATCAGCAAATCCTCTAGTATCATAAATGATAAAATTTGACTCAATGATTCTGCTGCCGCATTTTTGGATCACAGATTTAGTCCTGTGACTTTCAACAAAGCCATGAGGGCATGACTGCAAACCTCTAGCTACTTTTGCCTTGATATCACCCTTAGATGCTAAAAACACTGCATTTACCAGCGAGGATTTCCCAACTCCTGTTTCACCAAAAACAATGACTTTTTTCTCACCATATACTTTTTCAAGGATCTCTGTTCCATACCTAGATGATGATGGTCTGTGGTCAGCCTGACTAGATGTAGATGATGATCTGAGGCTACTATCTGAGTGATATCCACCTCCTTCAGCCATTTTCAGCAAGAGGATATGACAGCTAAAGTCAACTACCCTAAGAATAGCTAGATCTACTACCCATTGAATCACAATCTGATACTTCTATCTAGACAAAAGGTAGTATGAGAAGCCAACTACACAGCCAAATTTCCACACTTGCTAACCACACTTACTAATCACAGGAAGGTAGTGTATCGTGTTGTTTTGGAGCCAAAATTTAATACAGTAAGTATTAGGGACAGTTGCTCTGTTGCTGTACACTTAAAAACAAAGCTCTGTATAGTGACTGCCTTTTAAAATTACTCATTTTATTAAAGCATACAATGATATACAATCAAAATACATAAACATGACCGCACACAATTACCTTAACTGTAGCACCTCCATCCACACACTTCTGGAGGTAGGTGAAGTAGCAGTGGATGATACTGTAACGAGTGGAAGGGAGAGCAGGATAGGTAGACTCCATTAGGTAATCAGCAGTCTTTGAATAGATACAAAATACAACAATTCATATACAGTACATGAAATAATAATATAACAAAATGGGCTATTATTATACTACCTTTTGTGGTTGCTCCATTAACGTATTCATTATCTGACGATTACCAACACGCTTATTAACCTCATCAACCAGATAACTAAAATGAACATATGAATGTTTATACGTGTATGTTGATACATGGATACATTAGTAAAAGCTCCTTCTCATTTAAGAAGTGACAATAGATTTCATTTCCTTACCTTGAGTCAGTTAATAGCCAGTCCAAGTGTCTTATATACAATTCCCATTTATCAACTGAATGGAAGGCAGAGAGAGACAAGGCAATATCAAACACTGCCTCTTTGCCTTGTCTGTGTGCAGAAATAACACATCAAATAGTCAAAGTATATTACATAATAGAGGTGGGCGATACAATACCAAAGTACTCATATATCCAATACCAGGCCTCCGATACCAAGTACTCGATACCAAATCCTGGTATCGAGTAGTGAGTAACCACGCCCCACCACACCTATTTCAATACATCATAATTGTGACCACACCTCTTAATAATTACAAAATGGCGGCTTATTTCTCTTCATTAATTTTTTATTAATAACTAATTATAACTTAATTGCACATGCGCAGTAGCTGACTACTCATTCACTACTCGATACCATTGATACTGAGACTCAGACTACTTGGTATTGGTATCAATTCAAAATTTCTGGTATCGCCCACCTCTATTGCATAATCTAAGTACCTTGCCAGAGATATTATGGTTTCTTTTTTGTACAAAAGATTTTTCATAAACTTTGCTATATCAAATTCTACACGACAAAGAAAAAGAAGAGAGAGAAGAAATAGCAATTATTTAATATGTCTTTAATATGTTACGTGATCATGTCATTATGTTCATTGCAGGGTTGTAATAACCCATTCAAAAATTGTTGATTTACGAAAAAACCTGTGGAGTCCAGAACTAGGCTGTAGCTTTATATACAGAGAAATTTGTAAAGGCTATCGTGGGTCGCATGACAGGACTGTATGTGGTTAACACTTTGTGTACTTGTACTTGTATAAACTGTGATGTAATGTATACTAATTATTAACTTGTATGTATTAGAAGAGGATGAGTTACTGACCAATATTGTTCTCTTGTAGCTTCTTAGCTTGAGTGTAGTCATACAGTAAACTATTGGACTCTTTTAAAATTGCAATGTAAGGACGACACGACTCTGGCCAATGAGAGGGATCGGAACCAGTCACATGACTTGTCACGTGATTAATGAGCTCTTTTGGAGAGTGGTGATAGGGATGAGAACTGGAAGCAGAGAAAAAAAAGCAGACATGAATATACATGCAGATAAGAGATTTGTGATGGCTGATTACAATATTAGTTTTATGTCATGATGGGTTGATGATATGTGTTGTTGGCTCACGTTGATGACAGGTGAGGCTGTGTTGCTTCATTGTAAAGGACGAGAGAGCAATAGTATATTGATAAATGATAGAGAAGGAAAGATGGAGGAATGGATGAGAGGAGATCCTTCACTTTATGAGGACACTATAACACAAAGAGAGAGAGAAAAGAGAGAGAGAGAGAGAGGGAGAGGGAGGAAGGGAGGGAGGGGAGAGAAAGGGAGGGAGAGAGAGAGAGAAAGAGAGAGGGAGGGAGGGAGAGAAAGGGAGGGAGAGAGAGAGAAAGAGTGAAGAGAGAGAGAGAGAGAGGGATATGATAAAGAAAGAGAGAGAGAAATTAGAGCAAGACAAATCATTAATAAAAACAATTAATAAATTACTTTTGACAAGTTCAATAGATATCCGGTAAACATGTGTAGGTCACAGTCAATGAAATTACGAGACAAAGAGAATAAAAGCTGATACAATTCTTCTCTTTTAGACTCCTCCTCCTCCTCTTTAATCTCTCCTGCCTCCTCTAGACTGATATCAAAGAGTATCTGCTTAACGCGATATAAACTCTGGTTCAATGAGATATCAAAGAGACCACTGATCTCTTGATACTGACTATACGTAGTGATCTAACAACAAAATCAGTATAGTATCAAATAATATTAATACAACTCGCACTTCTTTGTCACAGTAGAATGGATGATACTTTAGTCTAAAAGAAGGGAGAGGTTTAGCTCCATCAGTAGTTGATGATTTCAGTTCATTCAGTTGAGATACAGCAGTGCTTAGGATATCATTATGACCCTTTCCAGACATAGAGGGCATTGAACTTCTAAAAACAAAATAAAATAAAAAATATCGTTTATTTCTACAACCTACTTTTGTCCGATCAGTTGTTGTACCGTTCCAGTTCCTTTACTGACCAATACCTGGACACTTGATCCGACCAGCTGTCTAACAAACCCACCACTCCCTCCTCCTCCTCCTCCACTAGTAATACTCATCATCTGGTGCTTATGGTGACAATCAATACACAACAACTGCAATGAAAAATACATGTAGTGCTGATGTAGAAAAATACTTAAAATTAAAATACATGTACATGTACACATAATAATAATAATGCAATTATAATAGAGATGAAATTTAAAAAAATAGTTAAATTACAGTTATTAATGATGAAATTAGTGGAACTAAAGGTATAATAATAATAACCAACAGTACAGAATAGTGAATATACTCCTGATGGTGATTATTACAGCTTACTTGTGCTTCTATTACTCTTTTTTCCCTCAGTATGATCTTAATCTCTTCGACCGGGCAATGCCTCACTGAGAAATTCAACAACTCAACTCTTGAGGTCAAGTCAGTATAAGCACTCATTGACCCAAGCTGCCTATTACAGCATTAAAGATAGGACACCAGTAAATATAATAAGAACGTCTGTATATTTTGGATGAATGTATATGTATTATGTACATGTACATGTACATATGTAAATACAAGTGTATACATGTACATGTACATGTATATTCTTTGTTAGATCTAGAAATAAATTTTAAAAGATCAATCTACATGTACGTGTAGCTAAAATATGAAACTTAATTAATGATATTTAGGCTAAATATGAAAGACCAAAAAAGCTCAAAAATGTGAACTTTCAGAAGATCAAATATATTCCCATACTTAGTAATCTCCCAAGCATCAGGGAAGTTACAGTTCATCAGTAACTGACACATCTTCAGTGCAGACTTGTAGTCGTTGTTAAGTAGAGCAGCTAGGGATATGTATATCGCGGTGTGGCCACGCCCAGGTGACATGTGTTGCCATGACGACATTGAATGGAGTGACGTCTCTCGCTCGGAGCTGACACCAAGCAAGTACGACAACCTGAACAGCTAGAGAAAGGAAGAGAAAGAAATAAAAAATATTATTTTTAATTTTATCGTTACCTTGTCGTATTTTTTGTAGGCAGTGGGCGATGAATCAAGAGCTTGTTTTATTAGATCCAATTTATTTTCACACAACCTCACTGTATAATTAAGTATATAAAGATATCGACATTTTTTATATCGCATAGCAGGAAATTTTGGAGGAAGTTAAATTTGGCAAATCGCTTAATTTTGGTGATTGGCAAAGTTTAATTTGACCAATTTGTGGCCACGTGCCATTGAACATGCTAATAATGGCTCAAAAAGGCAGATTTTTATTTTGGCGAATGGCTATCAAAACACCAAATTTGCTTTTTTAACTCCCTCTTAAATTTCCCAATATACAGTAGTCCATATGTTACCTTTTATTGGTAGCATGACAATGTTGAACTCCTCCAGCAGCTCCAGCGACTGAATGAGGTTTCTCTCCAGCAGTATTGAAGGAGACTCTTCTTTTATTAGAGACAAACACAACCTGAAGAAGAAAAACAAAACAAAAAATATGTACATGTACATGTAATTGTACATTGCAATATACTTGTACATGTATTCTCTACCATACAATGTAGAATATCAATAACTGATTTTATTTGAGGGAACTATATTTCATAAAATCTACTAAATTTCCAATTTGAAGATTTTAATTTCACAAAATCTACCATGTGCCATATGGGTACCATATCAAAAAATTAATTTTCACAAATTTTATTTTTGTAAATCAGGAAATCCGCAAAATTCATAATATTTGCAACCAAAAAACCTACTTACATGTATATGGTATTACCTTGCTAGTTCAATTTCAGGGTCCCTAGGCCCAGCAGCTGAATTAAAGTACTCCTGGGCCGCCTTTACTGCCACATCCAGTGATAGTTGATAAGGAAGGATATGAGAGAAGGAGGGGGAGGGAGGGGGAGAGGAGGACAATCGGGAAGAACCAGATGCTACTGTCAGTGCTTCTGTAGCTAGGGAGATATTGTCCATACTTCCTGAGCATATCAGACTCTCAGTAAATATCTAAGGGAGAGAGAAAGGAGCAAGAAAAGATAAGACCATTACTGTACATGTGTATGTAGTGTAAGAACATAAAAATGGCCATAACTCAAAAAATTTAAGTCAGAATCAGCTCAAACTTTCTACACAGCATAAGGGCATCAATATGTATCAGAAAATGCAATAAAAAGTGAGAGTAATTTTTGAGCTATTTTTCTGGAAAAAACCATGGGCTATATATAGTACAGGGATTTTTTTAGATTTCGGCCAATTTTTAAAATGGCCATAACTCAAAAAATTTAAGTCAGAATCAGCTCAAACTTTCTACACAGCATAAGGGCATCAATATGTATCAGAAAATGCAATAAAAAGTGGGAGTAATTTTTGAGCTATTTTTCCGGAAAAACCATGGGCTATAGTACAGGGTATTTTTCAGATTTTGGCTCGTTTTAAAAAATGGTCATAACTTGAAAAATTGAAGTCGGAATCAGCTCAAACTTTCTACACAGCATAAGGACATCAATATGTATCAGAAAATGTAATAAAAATCAGGGGTGATTTCAGAGCCATTTTTTGGAAAAAACCATGGGCTATAGTACAGGAATTTTTCAGATTTTGGCCAATTTTTAAAATGGCTATAACTCCAAAAATTTTAGTCAGAATTAGCTCAAACTTTCCACACAGCATAAGGACATCAATACCCATAGCTCCATACCTTCATACAGGTATCAGTGTCCATACAATGAAAGACTCTGTTCTTTAGTGTAATGAGATGCTGTTGTAGACCCCTCCAATCTCTCTCAGTAAGGGGCGGAGTCCTAATAACAAACGACATTAAATAACTTTAAACCTGACCTCACCTTCTACTAGCAACTCTAACAATTCGTCTAAACAATTGCTCAGCTTCATTCCTATTATCCTAATATAATAAAACATGCCATTACATACATGTAGTGTCACATTCATGTACATGTTCATGTGTACCTTAATATCTCTGATGTATTTAATTGATTTATTGACATTATAACTTGCTAATATCTCAATAGCACTAAAAGGAGCATTGTTAATAAATTTATTTAATGATAAAAGTGATCCTGTTACCATATGAAACTTTCTAAATCATTTAATTGTTGATAGAGCTCTCTTTGTTTAGCCGAAAGTTGTCTAGAGAGAGATGTGTGTGTGCGAGTGCATAAATGTAGATGTATAAAGGTAATCAAATTTACTTTGATGTTATGACTGATAGAAAATGGCCGGCAATAGTATCAACTTGATCCAATTGATCAGTCCTTAACACAACAATAAATACTTATAACCAGCAGTACAGTTAGTTATTGTCAGTTACCTCTCGCAAGTATAGACACACTTTAACGCTAAACTCATCCTAGCCTCCAGAGACAATGAGGAAACTGATACACCCATTGACTTCTAAAAATGAAGAATACATGCACATATAGATATACACCTCCTTTGGTTTAACTCTCAGGCTCTCTGTTCCTTTTATTTCTAACTTACTTTTTCTCTCATACTCTTGAGGAGGTTAGCAAATGGTCTGAGATCATTCTGAAGTAAATAAATAAATAAATAAGTAAATAATTAATGAACCTTTGATACAATGATCATGAATTCCTCCAGTAGATTGGTGCTGGTTGTTAGTCCTAACTTCATTAGTCTATCAATGTATGGCATAGCATGATTAGTGAAATATTGGATGAATTTATCTCCTTCAACCTAGAGAGAGAGAGAGAGAGAGAGAGAGAGAGAGAGAGAGAGAGTTAGACATACAAATACATGTACATGTACATGAAAGAGTTAGTTGCAATGTTACATGTACATGTACATGTAAAGACGTACGTCGTGCATTATGAGGTGGAGTATCTCCAAGTTTGTCATCTTCTCTAGTTTTGATAAGCTCAAGTGACTATCAACATTACACTAAAAGATAACACAAAATAACACAATTAACACCAAATCAATACTAACACTGTGTTAACACTAATACTGATACAGTGTTAACAATATCAATGAGATATCATTCCCTTACATGATAAACGAGTGATCTCAGTGTTAACAACTGATGCTCCAACACTTCCAAGCCCTACCAAAGAACACATGAGGTACAAGAACATAAAATAAATCAATTCAAACTTTGACGTTGTTCTTGATAGCAAACCCAATGAGAGACAAAGCATTATCAACCTATTGAAGAATATTAATAATGTACATGCATAATTATACTTATCATACCTGTCCAGTGTATTGCTCTATTTCAATGGCTCTCCTTCTGTACCATGACGTTAATAGCTCACCAGTAATAGGCCTAAATGAGCATTAATTAGAATATCAACTTGTGGTCATTGATTAGAATAACATACACAACATATATGGATTAATCTTACTCAATGTATTCTCTTAAATCAGACATTTCTTCACTCGTTATCAAATCAAGTGAAGTTTGTTTCCCTAATGAATAAAACTGCCTGAGGGAGAAAGAAGAGGGATATGATTAAAGTTTATGTGGAGGTGATACCTTATTGATTGATGTTCAACCCAATCCTGATCTCTGAGACTCTCTCCCTCCCATTCAATAACTTCACCTGCTTCACTATATTAGCAGAATAAATCATTCAATATCAAATCAATAAATATAATATTTTTTAAATTACTTTAGAGTAGGTAGGAGGTACTGAATGTCACCAGCAAAAGAAATAGTTTCAGGTAAATATGATAAAATGATAAGTCTAAAAATATAACAATTGTAACATACAGCAGGAGACCTACTCACCTATAAGGTAACACTACATTGCCATGACGATCAAACAAAGCCTCTACAGCTTCCCACTGACCATCCTACAAGAGAAAAAGAAAGAGAGAGGAGGGAGGGAGAGAGAAAGAGAGAGAGAGGGAGAGAGGGAGAGAGGGGGGGGGGAGAAGGAGGAGAAAGGAAAGTAAAATTTAAAGATATAATTGTTCGTCATACTTTAGCGAAGTCAATAGCTGCTTGTATTAAATTGATGTTTCTAAATTCACCAAATACAGACGAGTCGTAGCCATCTAATGTAGCAGCTGGGCCACCTAAAATGACCTATTAATACATAAGAATATAAATGAGTAGTTATAATAATGATAATAGAATAATGGGTATTACTTCATAGGTGTTGAGTCTGTCTAAGTATTTGAGTAAAGTCTCACGACATTGACACAGGAATATCTCATCTTCTGACAAGCTTATAAAATGAAAAATTAAATATAAAATAAAAGATAATCTTTTGTCTCTTACCTCTTCCATTTAGCAATAACTTCAAGTGGCTGCTTCAATCTTTCATCATCAACTTCTTCAATACCTTTCCATGATGAATCCTGATCACTTCTTAATATACACAACTCCCTGATGAAAAAAGTTAAAATAATAATACAAAATCCACTTGATTTCTCTCTACAGTATATCCACTGCTCTTTTCTCTTACTTGAATGAGGTCCTATGGAGTCCATAAGACAATAGCTCTTTCATTGTTAGGAAGTCAGGGGCCACAGAGTGGAGGCACTCCTTCAGTACCCAGGACATCTTAGATACTTTAGAGAGATAGTCCTCAATTGAAGCAACAGAAGGAACTGATAGCTGCCATTGGCACTGGTAGACCATGTCACAGTCTAAGTTATACTGACGGGCTAGCTCTAAAGCTTCACCATATTCTTCATTCTCTATCTTTAGAATGAAATAAGGATTTTAATAATACATTACCTTAATGTACATGGCTACATGCATAAACATGTATCATTAAATGTGTGTATTAATTATAGTATTATTGATGTAGTCGGACTTTGTCTGAAGAATTTCCTTTAATTTTACATGTACATGTAACTTTATGCCTTAATTTAGCATCTAAAGATCTCTTGCTAAAATTACAAAAGGTTGCAGGCATAACTTTTACTTACTTTTCTTTGATAACATTCCTCAGGAGGCATTGACTTTAAACACACGAGTCGATACACTGTACTACGCTCCCTACATAATAAAAGTATTATAATATCAATATAAAGCATGTAGTACATGTAAAAATGACTATGTATTACTTTTGTTTCTCTTTGTGTGGTCTAAACTGTTCCCTCTCAGTTAGGAAGTACATTATTTGTTTAGCTACTGATGAGAGTCTCTTTCTAACATCACTGCTACTCTCTCTCTTGTCTTTATCATCAGTAAGAGTATCATCTAAAGCAGAATCACTTCCTTTCTCTTCCTCCTCCTCCTCCTCTTCTGTCTCTTTCACTGGTTCCTCCTCATCGCTGTACTCCGAGAGTGATGGGAGGAGGGTTGGCCTCCTTGAGAATCGAGTAGATACTTCACCCTGTGACAATAAGGAGCAGGAATACATGTATATGTATGAGCAAGTTTAAAAATTTGTAAAAAAACCTAATTTCAATCGGAATCAGCTCAAACTTTTTACACAGCACAAGAACATGTATATGCATCAGAAAATGTAATAAAAGTGTAGAATTCTCTTCTAGACATTTTTGACGAAATTTGGCTAACAACCATGGCCAAATTTTTGAGGAACTTTTAAAAATTTATAAAAAATTAAATTTTAATCGGAATTAACTGAAACTTGATACACAGTATAAGAATATGTAAAAAACCTATAAAAATGAAGGATGATTTCCTATAGTCATTTTGACAAAATACTCTGTACTATAAGCACCTTTGGACTAATATTTGAGCAACTTCCTATGTGTATGTCTTAATTACTTCAAGCATTAGTAATTGTCCTCCATACCCGTGAGTGACAGCTGCTCCTGGTTCCGGTGAGTGTCCCAATAGATTAATAATAGAATCAATTGATAACACAATCACTTTAAATAATGAATTAACTATTATTAACGACTGAATGATTGAAAGATAAGAGTGTGCATAAGGTTAATGTGAGCTTACTTCATCAGACCACCAGGTAATCTCCAATGGTATTACATTATTACCTATTGGAAGAGGAAAGAGACCAAATAATATCAATATAATTTTGCAAAAGAAATGAATTTACAGTAGTTAAAAGCAAACATATACAACTAGCCACAAATAATTTAGATAAGGGCAAGTAAATCTAGTAATGCCTATGGAGTAATAATGTAATTATACATGTAGCTTAGAGTAATAATTTAAGAGTATGAATACCAAAGTAGAGCATTATGTTACTAAAAATAAAGAGACACGCCTTTTGGCATGCATTAAAACATCACCGCAATTTAATTAGAAGTAGTGTTAGAGTTACACATATCTCAGTGCTATGGAAGGAGAAGAGAGTCTAAACAGCTTAGTTTTATTCTCAGTACATGGTACTGAGAACATTGAAGATGAGAGAGAACTTGAAAGGAGAAAAGATGAAGTGGAGATAGAAGAAGAAATAGAAGAAATCAAAGGTGAAGAGGATGAAGAAGAAGTGAAGCAAAAAAATCAGCCATTACGACAAGAAGGAAAGGAAGAAATACAACACAAAGAAACCAGAAATGCTAGAAAGGAGGAAGAGCAGGCAACTGTACAGCAAGATGGGGCTACAGTACAACAAAATTGTACAATTAAAGAACCGTCTAAGAATAAATATAAATTAGAAATAGAAATGGAAGGGGAGGAGGAAGAAGTAAAGCAAAAGAATCAGCCATTACCACAAGAAGTGTCCCAGACGCTGCATAAAGAAGAGGCACAACAAAAAAATGTCAAAGATGAGGCAAGTGAAGGTTACTCACCACCGTTGCATATAATGATAGTTGGTAATGTAGGAGTGGGAAAATCAACACTTATAAATTCAATGCTGGGCAAAGAAGCAGCCACGGTATCAGATGATATAGAGCCCACCAGACACAATACAATAGAGGAACACACTGGCACTGTCTGTGGTACACCAGTGGTATTCTATGATACAAGAGGGCTGGGAGACCCAAAGCTAAAAAACAAAGAGCTCATCAAAAAATTCAAACAGAAGCTTGACGAGTGTGGTGATCGACTTAGAGTCCTTATATGCCAGCGATTTACAGAGAAATTCGATGATTCAGTTAATCGTTTTGCAGAGATTCTTGCAAAATATTTCAAGAATCATTACTCAATATGGAAGAACTGCATCTTGGTACTAACAAAAGCCAATAAGTATGATCCTGATGATGATGAAAGCGATGAAAATGATATGAGCAACAATAGCCGAGAAGAAGTTCTAAAATTGAAAATGAAAATACGAATGAAAAATTGGGCAATAAAGTTTCAATTGTGCCTTAAAAAATACAATGTACCAGAGGAAATAATCATGAATATGCCAGTGTGTGTCGCTGGGAAGAAGAAAGTCGAATTACCTCTCACTGATAACTGGATAGAATCAATAATGAAAGACTGTCTCTCAAGAGTTAAACATTTTCACAGCACTCATCGAATGGAATGGGAATCACAAAAAATGGGAGCAACAGTTGGTGCAACAGTTGGTGGTGCTTTTGGAGGTCTTGCATTACCACTTATTGGCATACCATTTGGAGCTACCATAGGCATTTTGATTGGTAATGAGATGGCTAAAAGGTCTTTCCAGAGGGCAGTAAGTGATACAGAAGAAAAAGAGTTCCATGAAAGGAAAAGAGACGAACTGATAACAAAGGAAAAGGACTAAACAAAATACTAAAATATTGCAATGATTGACATTAGTAATTATTTATTAGCAGTTACTTAGATTATTATTAAACACAAGAAATCTTACACTCAATGTATGTAACATATACATGTAAGCATTTACACTATGTAATGAATGCACTCCTACTAGAATAATTACTCACACTACATTCCAATGGTACTACACCTTTGATAATTGATACAACTCAGTAATGGGATATAAAGATATTACTATGGACAGTCCCACATTTACATTTGCAAATATACAACATGTAGTTGTTTTGATAAAGTAGGAAGAGGTCACCCAATAAATCAAAACAAGTTACTGATAAGCTAAAAATGCTTTTACTACACTGTCACGTCATGAGTGACTTATTATGAAAGTGGAAAATAACACATTCAATGTGTTTTATCATGTGATCATAGTTTACATAAAGTCTTTCTCTCAGAGAGTTAGTGATGGCACAAGCATCAGATGAGAGTCTATGTTTAACTATTGTAGAAGGGAATGAGAATAATGAAGAGATAACAAGCAAAGAAACTAATTTTACTGAGAACATCATCAACTTACCACCAGCACAAGACAACGAGCTAATGACTAGTGAGGAGTATAAACCAAAACAAACGATAAAAACAACAAAAAAGAACGAGCCACTCACAATATTTGTGATTGATAGGACAGGAGTTGGTAAGTCTACACTAATCAATACTCTACTTGGAAAAAAGGTAGCGAAAGTGTCTGATGACATCTTCCCCTGTGCTCAGGAGACAATGAAAGAATGCCGTGGTGACTTCTGTGGAACAGAAACACTCTTCTATGACACAAAAGGACTCGCTGACCCAGAGGAAGATGATGAGAAACTATTGAAGACGCTTTATGATGCGATAGCAACGTGCAACACTCAATATATAGTTTTCATTTGTCTGCCCTTAACAAGCAAAGTTGATAGATCAGTCTACAACTTGGCAAAGCTTCTGGTCAGCAAATTTGGAGAGAATTACAGTATCTGGCTTAACAGTGTCATCGTGCTGACACAAGCTAATCTCTTTTCTCCTCAAAATGATGATGAGGACAGCGATGATGACGATGATGACAGGAAACTTGAAATAAAGCAAATAAAAATGATAAACAAGATAGAAAACTGGAGCAAAGAGTTCAAAACTTGTCTGGAGAGATTTGGGCTGCCAAAGGAAATCATATTGAATATGCCGGTGAGTGTCGCAGGGAGAAAGAATCCAAAATTACCGATCATGGATAACTGGAAAGAGGTCCTTTTGGATACCTGCTTAAAGCGTCGAAAGGGGCTACAAAGCATTAGGGAGATGGAAAAATGTGCAAAAAGATCGTCAGCTTATATCGGAATGATTGTTGGTGGTATAGCTTGCTGTGTAGTACCAGTGATTGGAATACAAGTAGGTATGACAGTTGGGGGCTTGATCGGTTGGAAAATTGGAGACAATTCATATAGAGGAGCAGTGAAAGAGGCAGAGCAAAAGAAGTTTCAGAAAAGGCACCTGTAGAATGACCTTTACTACTAGTATAATAATAATTGGCTTGTGCATATGTTATTAATATTACAGTATTAATGTTGCTATTATTTTTATTATTACATAGGAGGAGTTGTTTAAAAAACTAAATATATTTTTAAGTGTTGAAATATTTTAAGTAAAAAATGTACTTTCAATAGGAAGTGGATAGTAATAATGTTGCCACTCTATCAAACTCAACTTTAAAATGCATTGCCACATTAAGCAATATGAGGCTAGGATCAAATTAATTATGATGCAGACTATAAGGTTATTTAGTTATGGGCACATGAAGATAATACACTGGAGAGTGAACTAAAATAATAATTGTTATCAAGATCTAATACAATACAATGTCATATTCAGCACCACCCCAAGTCATTATTAGCAGTTAACTAACAGATGTTATATTATTGATAGTTTGCCAAACATATTCTTGGTTTTCACGATAATTATTCATGATTTTAATTGAGGATATGAATCATCATTGCATCACGTTGACAAGTGCCACACCCCATTGTGGGAATAAGCTGTTAGAGCCATTGGTTGCAATGGTAAATGATTGCTGTGTTTTTGGCTGCTACAGCTTTGCAGGCAACAAAACTTGCCTGATATTCTTCTCTTTTCTATTGAAGAAGAAGAGGAAATGAAAAATTGGACAGAAATCGTTAGGAGAGCAAGATGGAAGCAAAGGAAGCAGGAAAGATTTTGTCCATAAACAGTTCACTGTAGGTTACTTGCAATAATGTTTCTGATAGTTTAACTGCTTTCTAGACAAGTTGCAAGATAATTCTGATCATCTAGACTACTTTTCAACACTAGTTTCCTACTGTAACATGGAAAAATAATAAGCAGAAAAGTACGAAGATAGTAAAGTAATGCCTGGTAATTCAAGGTAAGCAATGATAATGTAAGCTGTGAATCTACTCTTAACTGCAGTTTCAACTATAAAAAGTGATGCAACAACATGAGAACAACCTTTATCATACCACAACATGCAGCCTGAGGGAGACT